CCGGCCCGGGGGCGGCCCCGAAGCGGCGAGGCGGGAGACGCGGCCCTTACCCCCTCCGCTCTGTCTGCCTGTCCGTGAGGGGGGGACCCTCACCGGCGGCCCCTCCCAGGGCTGCTTCATTCATTTCTCCTAATTAATTTATTTTCTAATTATTAAAAGCCGCCGTCGTTCCGTGCCCCCGCCACCGTGCTGACCGGGAGCCCGTGGCGGTGCGTGTCTGTGTGGGGTTCTCGTTTGAAGTGGCTTTAAGGGTTTGCGAGAAGGTCTGTGGGTTGGGGCTGCTGGACTTTCAGCAGCTGGGGGATCGACACGCTGCTGCCCAAATTGGGAGAGCTTTTATTAACCTTAAATTTATTAATCTTAAGTTTATTAATCTTAAGTTTCCTGACATCTTAACTTCTCTTCACTGCATTTAAAAATGCCAGCCCGACACTCCTGCCGAACTTTGGCAGGAACTTGAAGCCACGTTGCTCTCTCTCTTGCTATATATATTCTTTAGGCTGTCTAGTGATGCATTTCTCCTTATTTTTTTTTTTTTTTACCAGGTTTTAAAGGGGGAGTAGGCTTGCTCTTTCCTGTGAGAAAGCATGGCTCCGCTCAAGGTGCACGGACCTGTCCGGATGCGCAGCATGCAGACCGGGATTACAAAATGGAAAGAAGGGAGCTTTGAAATTGTGGAGAAGGACAACAAAGTGAGTCTAGTGGTTCACTACAATGTTGGAGGAATTCCAAAGACATTTCAGGTACACCAAATATTAAGGCTTTTGTTTGAGCAGTGCATGGGTTGTGCTCTTTTGTGAACAGCTGCCCTCTTCAAGGCTATTAAGTGTCACACAAACTTCCCTCTGTCACTGTTTCTTGTTCCTCGTTTCCTGAACACTAATCCTTTTGTGTAACTCTCCCGTAAATTATTCACGTGTATTGTTAAAGGATCTGTTGAGGTCATCGTCAAGATACCACTGAATGGGAAGAACCAAAAAGCAGGGAAAAGTTACCAAAGTGTATAGCATCATGGCTCAGGTGTTCAGATTTTTGGAATGGATAATTTTTCTGTTACTGGTACACTTGCAGAATCTAGAGGTGAAGATCCTGAACACTTTGTACTAGCAATTTTCCCAGCTGAAGAGCGCTGGTGTTAACACACCTTAACCTCTCTGCTTGTTTATATAAGACTGCTGAACAGCAGTTGTTACAGTTTTAGGTTTTAAAAATGTCAGATGATGTGATTTCCTCACTGGGAGACTGATACAGACCACTGTTAAGAATTCTCCTGCAATATATTCAGCCTGAATTGCCTTTTTTTTTTTTTTTTTTTTTCATTCTACAGCGATTTTCAGCTCAATCTTCCCAGACTTTTGTGCAAATTGCCCCAAAAAGAATGTGAAGGTGTGTTTTTCTCTAAGAAATCTCCATATGATTTAAAAATACTTACAGTATATAAGAGCAGTTAAAAAAAAATCCTATGTTATTTAGTACCGTTGTAAACTGATCTAAATGTTTGCTTCTGCTTTTTTGTGCCACTGTTGTTTTTCATCTGCAGTGCTCACCAGACCTTTCTCTGAGCCATGTAGTTCTGTTACGTGAACTCAGTGAGAAAAAAAAAGTTTGCTTTATTTTTGAGAATGAGGTTTTGCTGCCTTGGTGTGCTGAAAAGTCTAAGCAAAGAACCTGGCAGCCTGTGTTGCCTCGGAATCAAGGTGGGAGAAAATCATTAGCTGTGGATAGTTTTTACCTCTGTTACTGTAGACTTGAAAAGAATCATCTGCCTTCTCACAGGCAATGCTATGACCGCGTGTTTGATAGAAACAACGTGGTCCAATGCTGGATTATGAGAAGAGTGGTCTCTTCTTCCTCTCGTGCCTTCCCTGGTTGCTTGTTTTCACGTGCTCCTTTCTGCCTAGACGAGTGTTGACGTGGTGTGACAGTGATGTGAAAGGTGGTTCTGTGGGGAGGATGAGCCTGTGGAACAGCTAGCCATGGCCTAAAGGGGCAGGTTTTGCTCCCAACCTCTTGTGTGTGCTGGCTCAGGTGCTCGTCAGATCTCTCTGTGACCTCAGTGGAGGGTTTTCAGGTGAATTAATTTGGGGAAACAACCAATGTGAGATCTGGTGGAGGGGGTGATATGGCACCACGCAGCTATGTCTGCAGGAGAGGAGGATGAGGAGGAAATGCTGCATCTTTAGACCAGTTACTTTTGTTTGGATGGTGGTTATTTTTCAGCAGGATCTGATTTCGGGTCTTGTTCATTTTGAAGCAACACAGACCCTGGCACAAGAGCGTTGGTGGGAGCGAGCAGCAGGTGGGGAGGGCTCCTTCCCCTTGCACTGCAGGCTTGTGCTTGAGTGTAGTTTGTGTGAGCTGGCCCCAGTCTGTCACAGGCGTGGCAAATTCCTGATAATTTTGCTTTAGAAGTAGCATTCCCTTTTTTTTTTTTTTTTTTTTT